TTGCAGCAACAAAGAAAAGACCAGTCTATATGAAGAAGAGGACGAGAGAATTTAAGAAAGACGAGGAAACAAAGAGTAGTGGGAAAAGGACTTTTTTCCGATGGAGAAATAGTCAAAGCTTGATAGAGAAATTTGGGGTTAGATGGAGAACTAAGAGGAGATTAGAAAGTGTCAATATTGACCTTTTCTCTAAAATATCTAACAGTCCCTCCAAAAGGCAATATTAACTAAAACTCAAGACAAAAAATAAATCACAAAGCAAATATAGGCTGGACAACCTTTCGTATCGTGAATTCGGAAGAGGTAGCTTTCGGCTTTGAACCTTCCTTAGTGAGTTCATCACCACCTGAGGGACGTAATGGACTAGGCCTTGAATTAGGTCCATTGAATCAGGTATTGATAAAACACACACACAATACATCTTCATCTATTGAGCAAAGTGGGTTGAGCGTTAAAGGTCATGCTTACAATAACCGACTCATGAGAGTTTCTAGGGGTTAGCCCAGCCCCCCTTCCAAACCGCGACCATCACGGTTCCTCTCACGTAGGTAAGTCCTCAAAGAATACTACAGCTGGTTATTTAATACCCCATAATACACACATTGGACTTATTAAAAATAAAACTCAGTCTAACCAGCTGTATCATAAGAGCATCGTCACCATAGAGAAGGGGAAGTAGCAGATGCTACCATAATGATATATAAATATATCTAGATCGATGCTCCACACGAGTGTCACTAGTCCAGCTTGTTTCTACCACATTAAACCAACATTGAGATTACGTCTCCAAATAAAGATTGAGTTGCCGCTGTCAGTGACCTCATCTATGGGCTTAACCCCAACTCCCTCGATGAACCCAAAACCACACTTTTGGATAGACCTTTAGTCAATGGATCATTAAAATTCTTCTCAGACTTTACAAAGTCTAGAATCACAACTTTGCATAGCAGGCGTTGTATAGATTTATCAAGTTCTTAAGTTATTTTATAATTAGTCCTTCATATTGTTTGAAGTTGACATTAGGTCCCCTTCTTGTTAAGTTATTTTAAAATTAGTCTCTCCAGGCAAGAGTACATGTAGCAAGAGGAGAGATTAATTTGAAACATCTTATAAGGATAATGGAACCTAATAGCAATTCAATTATTTGATGGACTAATTTTAATATTCATTTTATTCATCATATAGAAAGAAGTTATAAGATATACCTTTTGATTTGATTTTCCAGGACATTAATTCATCACATCTCCTGTAACTAGGCATACTAGTTGATAGAGCATATTTTTATCAACTCTAATCATTTCCTGAAATCTCAAGAGAAAGCATTATACATGTAGTCAAATGAAGAGCTATAATCATTTCCTGAAATCTCAAGAGAAAGCATTATACATGTAGTCAAATGAAGAGCTATAAAATGATTCTTTCTAGTCACTATCAAAACTTATACATGTAGTCAAATGAAGAGCTATAAAATGATTCTTTCTAGTCACTATCAAAACATGTTAGCATAGAAGATCATGGTCTATGAGCATAAAAGATGACGTGTTATTTCATGAACTTCAAAGAGAACATGAGGTAAAACTAACACATTTTTTTAATGTGTTAAATATCCAGTGTTCATTCAAAACAAAACCAAAGACATTTGAAGTTCTGAGATGGAACAACACATGTCCATTTTCCATGTTAATTTGAAAGGTAATGAGAACGGTGTAAAGGAATCCATTTTAAATGAAAACATTCAATATTCTTTATCCTTTTCCAAGAGCAACCCCTTTAACCATTCAATACCATGCATCCATATGCACATACATGAATAAAATTACTAATAGTTACATGCAAAGCATTCAAGAGAACCTTATAATAGGATTTCATATCTTAAAGTATATTTCATACTTCATACGCATAAAATTAAAAAAAAAGTTCCTATTATAAGAGGTTGCAAATTGGTTTCCTATAAAGGAGACCTTCCAAGTTTAAATTGGTTGCCTACAAAATAGGCCTTCCAAATTTACGTGGTCATTTCTAGTACCACCTCTTAAACATATCATTTTGACATTAATTTAATTTTGAAGATTTAAAAATATAATTCACCATATAAAATAGAATTTAAAAGATGCACACGTCCTTTTGTTCAAAAGTTTTCATACCAAAGACTTCCAGATACTCAGAAGACACTTGCATTGTGGTGAAAAAGATATCAAATCTTAACACAATGGTAAAGTTGTAATTGGAATAGATAAACTTCTAATAAAAGAAGAGCCAGAAGTTCCAATATACATTATTTTAAGTAGAATTTCTGATTCAGAAATCTAGAGTTGATTTTACATTGATATCAAGGTCCATATCCGTGATATTAGCCCATTTATGAAAGTAATTAGCAGATTGTTTCTCGGGAACTGAGATATAAAGATTAAACTTTCCTTGATCATATATTCTCTAGTATTCATAAGCATGTACGTTACTGGAAAAACTGATTTCTTAAACTATCATGAAATTATTTAATTAGCATGTTTCTAAATAAACCAAGAAAACTGTTATAATATGCAATCTTCCGGAGGTTGGTTAGCTGTTCATGGATGAAGGAAACATGATCCTTCTTCATTATGTGCAAGTGAAGAAAACCAGAGGTTGTTACCTAACTTAAAAGGTAAGATATCATAAGGTACTACTGTGCAAGACTTTAGTGGAAACTTAAATTGGTAAGGCAAAATGGAGGCAGAATTCTAAAGGTTTCAAACAACCACTAAACTATATACAGATTTATCTATTGAAGAACCCATCCTATGTTCGCCTGCTTTACACATTAAGATATGTATTAAACAGGCTTATAATAGAATCAAATAGTTCTTTTAATGAAGGTATAATTTATAACTTAATTAACAACAATTAAATAAATGCAATAATTAACAGTTATAAAGGAATCTCAATCTTATAGATTGTTGGATAAATATCAAATAAAATAAAATTATGTAAATTAAATCCGAATTAAATAAGTAAGAGATAAGAAAATCAGGTCTGACGGTCTGACGGCAGTGATTACACGACTGCTCCCGTCAGTAGGGGTGGTAAACGATCGAATCGAATCGAATACTAAGATGTTCGTATTCGTATTTGTTTAAAATTATCGAATTCGAATGTGGACTCTAAAATTCATATATCTAGTTTTTCGAATTCGAACTCGAATACTTGGTATTTGATAAATATTCATGAATATTCACGAATACTTATCGAATATCAAAGTATATTTATTCCGCTATAGAATTTGATTTTCAAATAGTATTTAAATTCATAAATAAAATTTATTCCTTCATAATATATGATGTATATATATTTAAATCAAAATTTTAATTAGAAAACAGATTTAAGATTATTTAAGTCTTAAAATCAGGAGGATATAAAGCTCAAGTAGAAATGATATGTAGGTTAAAAATATGACATCATATGTGCAATAATACAACTATACAAGTAATATGATGTGATCAAATTTTAAACGAATATTTAATAGACAAACGAATCGAATATACATCTGGTTAAATTCTATTCGTTAGTAAACTCGAATACTAAAAAATATTTGTTTAGTGGTAAACGAACTACCGAATCGAATATGACCGAATACTTTTTCGAACAATTATCGAACTATTTGTTAATTATTTGGTTCATTTCCACCCCTACCCGTCAGGCCCGATTTTCTTACCTCTTACCTATTTAATTCGGATTTAATTTACATAATTTAATTTTATTTGATATTTATCCAACAGGTTTCAGTATAACACCCTATTTTAAAGGTGGTTTCTAGGGGGGGAAGCCCGTATTTAACTATTTCTAAGATAAATCATTTAAGTAACAAATGAATTATCTACGGATAATAGCATGAAGAATATCGAATACAGGTCTTCGAAAGGTACAGTTTGTTTTTTAAATAGTATAGACGAACACCTTCTCTCAATCTCCCCAAGCTTTAAAAGGGCGTTTTCTCATTTCAAAATTCAAGCAGATTTTGTGCAAATCTAACAAAACTTCAAGGGGTTTTGTGAAATTACCTAGCCAAGAAAAACCTGAGGAAGAATGGAAAAACGCGGCACCTTGAAGAACATGGTAAGCATATCAGAAGGAGAAACGGCGACTGAAACGGCCTCCGTATCTTCAGCCACAGTCGCCGCCGGAGCTAGGGTTTCGTCCTCGGCCACGGCTTTGATGATGGCCATTTTGCTCCTCGAGGGCGCGATTCTCTTGAGACGAAGAGAAGTAGGTGAACAGAAAGAGAGAGAAGGAGATGGAGAAGGGGATTGTGCGAGAGTGCGATGGCAGAGGAGAGGAGGGGAACGAGGCGATTGACGTCGCTGTTGGATTTTGCAGATAACACGGTGAGAATTTTGTAAATTTTGATTTGCACTTTTGGTACAGGAGATTATTTACATTGTCACCCCATTTCAACAATTTTTTCCCATGATATTAGCACTTAAATTCCTTATAGTTTTTCATATTTCGCACTTACATACCCTCACCTCACTTGTTTTTGACAGCACTTTTACACTACTAAAGTTTCTAAGGGGCTGTTTGGTTGTTGTTGGTAAAGTTGTGTTTTTATGACACAACTTGAAAAGTTGTTGTCCACCTCATCAATTTCACTTTTATACTTTTCTTTGTTTGTTTTTGATTCCATTGGAATCATAAAACACTTGTTTGGTTTGCAAAATAAAACTTTATAATTGTTTGTTTGGAAAATGTAAAAAGTGGTCCATACTCAAATGATCATATTGGTTGGAATTATTTTTTATTATTTTTTCCTAACTTCAATGTTAGCTTTCTCCTAAAATCATGACTTTTTTTTATGAAATCACTTTACAAGCCACATCAGCATATGAAATCACTTTACACTATTTTTACAACTACAAACAAATAATTGAAAGTGATGAAAGCTGACATTGGGACCCACTTTTTTACACTTTACATCCTTTTACATGGTAAAAACATACAACCAAACAGCCCCTAAGTGCATTAAAACACAAGAATTTTCCCTCGTGATGCTCACAAGCTACTTTTAGAAGTTTTAAGCCATTAATTGTTGATTTTACTACTAAAATCACCATAAGTTTATTTTAAAATATAATTAAGATATGTTTACAATAAAAATCCGAGTGCGCTTGACACAAAATTCAAAAACAGTAAGGGCCAAAAAGTCATAAAATTAGCCTGTGGGGATCAAATGGTAAAGAAGTTACAAAATTTGCTTGTGTGGGTCACATGGAAAATTCAATATTAATATCAGTATGACGCCCCTTTATAAGTTACATTCCCAGTTCTATTGCCAGATTTGATCCCCGCATAGATAGATAAAACAATGCAATTGCATTGTACTGTAATATTATCATACATAGCAGAGAGAGAAATTCACAAGCTTTTCCTAGCAACAATTGGATAGGCTTATACAAGGTACCAGATCTGAGACCCAACTGAAAAATAAGACTGGCGAGTACTTCCTGCAACACTACAATCATGAGTTCATAGCAAGGAATACGCAGCAAATCTCCCTTAGTTTTTAGACTAACTCCTCAATGACACAAGCAATTCTTAGGAAACAAAACTATCTGGGTCACTCTCAAAAAATATCTCCACAAATTCGCTCGAGATAGGAGACATGATAATTTTTCCAGATATTCGCTTTACAAAAGATCTGCTGGCATCCGATATGTCTCAACTCTCTTTCAGCATTGTTGGTATACGGCATTCTTAAAAATAGTTTCAGTTTATGTATTCACAGCAAAACGCACCAAACAGGATAGTCACTTGGTCACTTTCTTTCGTATCAGTAGAACTCAGCAGACTCCTCGTACACTTCCCCAGCTGTGACGAAACCAACCAATCACCATCAGAATACAATTAACAAGGAGATGCAACTGATAATAACCGTTTTTGCAAGTGATAATAGCGGTTTTGTTCCCTACCTTGAAGATTAGTAGCTAAATTAGCTTCATTGTCAGCGCCGGAATTAAACTCCTGCAGCAGCAACAAGAAATGATAAACACACAAAAAAGAGGGACATGAATCTGGGTTTACCAATGCAACAGAAGAAATAAATGCCAATGTTTTGACTTGAGACTATGTCTTTGTATTTCAGTAATGATAACCGTACTACTAATTTTATACTACTTTTGTACATCCTCAAACAAAAGGAGGAAATCCATGGTGACTCTCCAATTTTTTGTGACAATTTCCAATGAAGAACCCCGCACATTTTTTAGTGCTAGTATACAAGTAATATAGAATTTGTAGTATGCTTAACATTACCCTTTCTATTTTTCCTTTTAAGCAGGTTATGTGCGTAGTAATGCAAGGGTACAAACTAATGGTTGCTGATGTTTTATCTTTTGCAAAACAAGTGCAGGTTGAAGCCCTTATCTACTCACCATTCTACTTAAGATATGCTTGCCATTCTTTAATTGTTTGTTATTCTATCAGGTTAATATTGATCTCTCTCAATATAATATATGTTCAGGAAGGAGTCTTAACTTTAAAAAAAATTATAAAGGACAGGCCCCTGAAGTCCATCTTCTTTGTAATAAACAGAGTTCTCTCCTTTCTGAGAGTTCTAAGCACATAATAGAAACTTAGACTAATCATTGTATTTGGGCCAGTCATTGGTGAACGCCAGCAACATATTTGGATGTAGATGCATTTTAGTTAATCGGCCTTAATTGAACCATTGAAGAACATTAAGAAGGAAAGAATGTGCAATCATTTTGAATAATTCAAGAAACACAGTCAGTTATAGCCTAAAGGTGATTTACACAATGAAAGCATTTCAACTTTACCCTCAACACGTGGGAGATTTTGAATGACATGAACATTTGCTTTAGCCGCTTGACCTCTTTACACAAGTCAGCCATATTCTGGTTCTTGGTTTGCCACAAATCTTGCACCTGTTTTCAGGAAGCATTAAGTACATGAGACAGATGATGTGATGTCAGAACAGAAAACTATATACGAGGGAAATTCTATAAAGAATAATTACAATCTGGTAATTATCACAAAAGTTTAGAGATAAATTGGTGGTGACGCCTCTCACATGCTCCATAAACAGGGGAAAGGAAACTTCAGAGAAAAAAAATGTAGCAGAAACTTGCAGATGGCAGTGAAAATACTGCAGTTTAAAACTTTACGAGCTTTTAAACATGAAAGCAGTAAAGTAATGCCCCAAAAAAAGAAGAAGAAGAAGAAGAAGTTGTTTTTAAACTCTAAAAACTTTAGTCTCAAAGAAGCCACAAGAATAAATATTCAAATAATATCATGCTGAAACTGGGTAATCAATTGTTTTCATGAAGTTACACCATATCACACTGCAAAGGTAGGAAGAGAGGAAAATAGATGCAGTGAATACAAAACACTACAGAGACTAGTGTCTCTGACAAATAGAGAAAGGCCACAAACCTGCATACAAATGAGTTTCGAGTCACCTTGCACTTGAATTTGCTTAAAACCTTTCTTAAGAGCATGTTTCATTCCTAAAATCAAGCCACGGTACTCAGCAACGTTATTGGTTGCAATCCCCAAGCCTTCACGAACACGAGCAACCTTCATTCAAATTTTAAGCTCAGAAGATGGACAACTGGAGAAAAGTTTAAGCTTAATGAAGATGTAGGCAAATGGAGAAATGAAGATTCACCCAATTAAATAAATGAAAAATGAGAAGAAAGGAAGACAATAGGGTGCCAAAGCGTACCACACTTCCATCTGAAGTCTTGAGTATGGCTCCTGCACCAGCTTTTCCAGGATTTCCTTTTGAAGCACCATCAAATTCAAGAATACAAGTCATCTGTATTTAGTTAAAAACTTAGCCAACTACAAGACACAGAAATATCAACAAGAAAAGTTCAAGGATACAACTTTCCCTGCACAGCATGCTTTTGTAATAAGATAATTAAGAAAAGAATCACCTTCGTTCCTCAAGCCATGCCCCACACCAAGTGACGAGATCTAGAATAGGTCAACTAATTTAAAAGAAAAAAAGTACAGACAGATACTAATCGTAATATACATTAAAAGAGCTCATGTTTGACTACATGTGCATTACGGTAGCACCACATACATACAGTTATCATGCATAGTGATAAGAAATTAAGCAAATAGAATGAATAACCTGACATAATATTCATATCTCAAAGTATACCAGACTGATCTATAAGTACTCGTTTAATGCAAGGCTATTCATTTTATTTGCCATATCAGCACAGTATCAAACATTGCTTTAAATAACAATCTAGGTGCCCACCAAGGCCTAAGCAGTACTTAACCGCCCGCCTAGGCCCTGGGAGCGCCTAAGGGAAACATGGCTGCATATGCTTACTGCACCGCATCAAAAAGGGGTATATTGCTTGCTTAGTTGTGGTAACGGCTGAAGAGAATGGGCCAAGTGAACATGGATCAGATCAAAACTCTATATCCAACCCCATCTTAGGTAAACAACGAAGTTAGGATTTTGAACATTTGAAAAGAATCCTCTCTTGTTACTAAAAACACCAATGTGCCGCTTAGCGCCAGACTGGGCGCTAGGTGCATGATCTTGTGCTTAGAAGCACCTACCGATTTCTAAAACATTGGTCTCACAGGGACCACAAGATACTAGCTGTGTTACCGTCTCTGATGGAATTGTCAAATCTGCTTGTTAATACCTTGAAATTTCTAGAGTAAAGAGATGGTAACACGCCAACCCATCATATGATAAATTAAGACCTGCTTAAGGACTGAAGAAGAAGGCAGCTTAGACCATTCAATGAGGTAATAAAAATGGATTAGAGAAAGCTCCATCCTGGCCGAAATTGCTTTATGTAGGCCTTCAAACATGAGGTGGAGACATAAACCACACTCAATGCAAGTAAAAGTATTGGAAGCATCTGTCCTGGAAAGCACTGGACATTCAATTGACTCAGAATGGCAAGAGTTTGCATCTTTAGGCCCATAAGCAAACACAAGGTTCGCAAAAAAAAACTTGTATAAGAGTACTGATGAAGACATAAACCACACTCAACGCAAGTAAAAGTATTAGGAGCATCTGTCCTGGAAAGCACTGGACGTTCAATTGACTCAGAAAGGCGATCATCAGATTAGTCTTACTCTAAGCATTGGACACAAACAACATTAGTAAAGTCGGGACTTGTTTAATACAGTTAAGCAACCAAAAGTTGAAGCTATATGGGAAATTTTAATATAGCTACTTACAGAAATCCAATAAAACTTTACATTGTTGGAAAACAAGCATAAGAACTGAAAAAAAGGCAGTAGTTACAACAAAACAACTGTAATAATCAATTTTTTATATTGCCAATCAATTAAGTTAGAGGCCCACATGACGAAAGGATTGACAAAAAAAATCAAATGCCTCAAAGGCCCATTAGTGTTAAGCCCATGATATACAAGTCCACTTCCCCTTGTTTTCCTCTCAGGTATTGAGAGATATTTTTGGAAATATCTCTCATGTTTAACAAAAAAAACTCTTACCACTAAACCACTTCATCCATATCCCACGTTTAAAATCCTAGAAAATCTCTAACCTCTTAACCTTGTTCATCTCTTTAAAATCTATATCCATCTCCTCTTCCCTTTTTCCTTCACAAATAGCTTAAAAAAAAAGAAAAAAACAACAACAGAGAACAAGAGAAGGAGAGAGACGAGATTTGGATTTTTCTCTTGGATTTGGGGTTCATAGTCTTTTCTTCGACGAATCGGCAAGCATTTTCTTCCCTCAATCATTTTCAAAATTTCTTATTAGTTTATACTTCATGCAACACCATCTTTTTCTTTTCCTTTCTAGTTCATAGAAATAAATAGTAGAATTTATATTTAAAATTATTAGAGATTATTTTTGTTGTTATATCTTATTCGAGGAAATTAATAATAGGATTTATAATCCTAGGATCTATTTTTACAATCTTATTTATTGATTATATTTTTCCCCCCATGATTTTAAGTTTTTAACATTATTATTGCTATTAGTACTATTATTTTCACATAAATTTCCGTATAAATCAAAAGATAAAAATTTCGGCTTATATAAGATATACAAATTTTATCATTTACTTATTTGAAAATATTTATTTAAGAATTAAACAAAAATCGAGATTTAGTTATTGTCTGCATTCTCCTGGACATGAAACAGTGATGGGTGTAGTGGTTAGTTGCACTTGACCATGATGCAAGGGTCTGGAGATCGAACCCTAGAGCCTTCCTTGTCCACACACACACACATGTAAGTGTGTGTGTGTTTTGGGTCAGTTTGAAACCGAACCCGACCCGGTACAGACCCGTTACCAAATTCCAAACCTGTTTGGGTCCAAAATACACGAATACCCGACCCATTTAGCTCTATAACCCCTCGAACCTGACCCAGTTCGGACCCATTATCAAATTCCAGACCCGTTTGGATCCATAACCCTAAATTACAGACCCGTTATCCAATTTTCAGACCCGTTTGGATCTATAACCCCAAATTTCAGGCCCGTTTGACCTAGTTAGGACCCAATATCATATTTCAGACTTGTTTAAGTTGTTTCTCACTAAAATCAGTTTTACAGATTTCTATGTAGTCAATTTAAAACTGTTAGGCTCGCTTGACACTAAACAATTATGCTAATTAGGTATTTTTCATTTATTAAGATGAATGATGATATTGTTTGATCTCTTGATGCTTATTGGATCACCTGATGCTAAGTTTGATCACCTAGTGACATTTAATAGGGTTGATTATGCATGAAGACGACTTCCGTCAAGAAAACTGATTTATAAACGTGTTATCATAGCATGGCTATACCCTAGACATCGATATCCCGATGTGAGGAGTTTCTCTTGATTATTAATATTATTATTATAGCATTGACTGGACGATGCACCCTTCTTGATTGGACATGTTGTGTCACGGTTATTTTTCATAAATTTTACGAAAGTTATCCACGGTAACTTCGTGGTTAGTGAACAATATTTCATGTACAATCACTTCAAACAAATGAATAAATGTGGGGTTTATAAAGGAAAATTAGACGGAGAATATAACATGTATATAAACGGGCTTATGCGCATTCTTGATATCCTGGTTTATATATATATATAATATATTATATATATATATATAGAGAGAGAGAAGAGAGAGAGAGAAGGGAGAGAGAGAGAGAGAAAGAGAGAAACTTATGTCAACTTAAGTGGACCATCCACCAAAGTTTCTATCTATTGATCAAAAATCTCTTCAATATGATGCATGGATCTCTAGGTATCATCAAATTGATAGAACATTTGGTGGATGGTCCACTTAAGTTGACATAAGTTTTCTCTCTCTCTCTCTCTCTCTCTCTCTCTCTTATATATATATATATATATATATATAATATATATATATATATATATATATATATATATATGAACTAAGGGCTGCGTCTTGATTGAAACGCGTGTTTGCTGGTATGGTTTACGGGAAACCGATTTATATACATGATACTATTCTCCTCTAATTCAAATAACATGTAAAATAAGAATAATGTGCTTGTGTTTTGTAATAACTTTATTTCACCGTATCTATAAGTAGTGTTTCTTTTAGTCACGTTTAATTTAGATTTTTATCTTCCTTTATACCTGTTACATACACTTACACGCGCACAATTTCTTCATTTTACATGCTTATTGGGAGTTTTCTGACTCCCCTGGGGTTTGCGTACCCTAGACTCGGGGACCGTTCTTTCTTCGTAGGATCGAGAGTACTTTAAGGATCAGGCCAAGCAACAGTGATCACCTTCTGTCATATCACTCTCTCAGCTTCTGTTATTTAGGTAATTATTTGTCTTAAAACTTTTTTCTTTAGCCACATGTGGTCTTCAGACTATGATGTATTTTCCTCTTTTTCAATTTGGATGGTTGTGGACTTATAGTAGAACTCGGTCTTTTCAGATATTTCTTAATTTATCTATTTCTTTTATTTCCTTAGTCACATGCTCTATGGTGTAGTTTTGACTTTATATCTATATACAGGATAGTCCAGAGGAGTGAATGTGACCGAATGGTTGCATTGTCGGCTGAGTCACGTTCCAAACTATTACGTTTTGGAACCGGAGCGTGATAAGTTTTTTAGTGGTATCAGAGCCAGGTTTAGGAATTGCTGTCTCGTCCTGTATACAAGTAAAAACAATATTAGGCCAAGAATAGAGCATGTATAGAATATGTTTCATGCTTTCCAAAAAGACATTCTTTTGACTCCTAATATCTTAATTCTCAAGTCTTAATCTTGACAAATCTCATTTTAGGTTATCACTATGGCCCCAAAACGTCGACCCCCTACTCCAGTTGTCCTTGAGGGATACCAAGTCGATCAGGCTGATCTTGCAGAAGTGATTAGGGAGCTGATAGCTCATAATCGCCAGAGGGATGGACAGCAGCAGGTTGTAAGGCCGGGTAATGTGTCCGATTTTTGGAAGCTCAACCCACAACACTTTGCTGGAACTAAAGGCGAATATGAGGCTGAGATATGGTTACAGACCATGGACCGCCTATTAAGAGCAGCCAAGATACCAGATGAAGACATAGTGGATATTGTGCAGCGACAGCTCATTAATGTAGCCAGAACATGGTGGGATGTAGAGGAGGAGAAGCTGCCTAAGCCAGTTTCATGGGAGACAATTCCGGGAGAGTTTCCTAGAGGCATTTTTCCCAAAGACAGCTCGTCTTGAGATGCAAATGCAATTTGTTATGCTGAGACAGAGAGCTAGTACTGTAGATGAGTATGCAGCAGAATTTACCAAGCTCAGCAGGTTTGCCCTAAGGATGGTATCGAATGAG